TAATACACTGCTGAGAACTAAAGCAAACATTAAACATGACTGTCAATCTACAGAGGAGGATATAGAGCTGTGCTGTCCAATACTGTAGTCACTAGCCACATGGGGCTATTAAGCACGCAAAATGTAGTTAGTTCAAGCTGAAACGTGTACACTTTATAAAGTGCAAAATGCACACCAGATTTCAAAGGTTTAGTATAAAAATAATATAAAATATCTCATTAATACTTTTTTATATTGGTTACACATAAAATATTTTGGATATGCTGGCTAAAAAATATATTATTAAAATTAATTTCCTCTGCTTTTTACTTCTCATAATGTGGCTACTACAGCACTTAAATTTATATTTGTGGCTCACATTATATTTCTATTGGACAGCACTGGGTTAACTCCCTTTGGTAGTTCAATCATTGTACTGATTCTGGTGAACATCTAGGGGACTAAAAACTGTAAGTCACAATTCTCCCTTCTAGCTCTAGCAGTCTATCATTTTAAGACTTTATATTCATCTTTATTAAATTTTAGCTTGTTCACCTTGGCCCATTCATCCAATCTATTAAACAATATTTGGATTCTGAGCAGAGTTTGACACCCAAAAGGTGCTCAATAAATATTTGTTAAATGAAGTCTGTTATCCAAAGCATCAGGTATCCTTCTGTTTCATGTTCTATATAAATTGAATGTGCTCGCCTAAATCAACTGTTCTCATCCAAGTCCCAGTAGAGGCCTCAATTCATTACTGATGACTTTTCAGACTTGGAAACCTTCATGCTTCCTCTGCCCTCTACACATAGGATGTTTATAGCAGTTTTCTTATTGTGTTGCTTTACATTTAAACACCTCCTTGATGGCAGGGTCTTTGCTTTTTTAACGTATGCATCACTAGTTCCCAGCACCTGATCTGCACTTAATGAATATTTTACAAATACATGACACCAATCAACAGAACCATCACTCAGCTCAAATTTCTATCATATTTAAAAGAACACCATGAGATTCTGAAAAATGCTTTGTTGATATTCAAATTCACTACATCAAAAGTGTTTTCCTAATAGACTCAGAATGAGGATTGTCTTTCATACAGGAATGTGAAAATCTTTCAATACAACTGACTTTTACTTAGTTTTCTCTCAAAGTGCTATGGAACTTCAAGGTTCTAGCATGAGAACAGGAACAATATTTAATAGTGTTTAATTAGATAAAAAATAACTTCAAAGGGAAACAATAATGTATTCTGAATCCCCAGGGACAAATTATTGGAACACATTTCTCCTCCAGAACTGTTTGAACTATGTTTTCAACCTATCTGAATAGCAGTATAGAAGGAAAAGAACAGGGGTTCAAAGAGTCTAGATGTTGTTTTTTCAATTACTAGTCATACAAATCCCTGAACATCTCTGAAGTAGAATGGAAACTCCATGAGGACAGGGATTGGCACAGAATACAATTTGTGTTCGCTACTTGTGAAATTAATAAAAATCCAATTCTTTCCTTAGGTAATTTGAGGATAAGATCTACATTGCCAATCTCACAGGTCTGAGGATCAACGGGGACAACCCATATGACTACAAACCATACTGGAACAATACAAACGTTTTCGCTAGTTGTTTTTTCTCATTTTGTCATTTGCCCTATTTTGCTCTCATTTTTTCTCTCTGCCACCCACTACTTCTGCCTTTCTTTTTTCCTAATTTTTTTCTCCCTTCTTGACTTTCTCCCTCATTTCTTAGCTGAACATAAATTAGAGATAAAGCGTATTTTTTCAGTATTTTTGAATATAATTCTATGTTCACAGCTGTTAATATTAAAAGTAATGAAGTAAAACGTTAGTTTCACCTGTAGGGGGTTGCTTTATTTTTTTGTAGGTTAGTAGCCTGCATTAGAAATACGGTTTCCCTTCAGTCTTTTTCAAGAGTGTGTTATATTATTTCACTTAATCATGTGACTTTTCATGATCCTAACCTAGTAGTCCAGCTGAAGTCAGGCTGAGGGTCATATTTAGCGTAAAAGCTAGAAATTCCTCCCTCAACCCTAACAGACAAGGTGGGATAACGTAAACGCTCTTGTATTCTACCCAGATACCAACAAACTGAAGCCTTTAATTCATACTTTCCCCTTAGGATAAATAAGCATGCAGTCTAATGCTGTATAACTTTATATATTTATTGCACTGTAAAATGCAAAATTGCATTTATGATGTCAAAATGCTAAAAGATACTGAACTGCTTTTTGAGTAAAAGAGGAAATACTGTTTATAATAATGTCACTTTGGCGATAGTTATTTTAAATCTTTGAAAATTGGTGACTGCCAAATTACCTCATTGATTAACTTTAAGAAATACTGTTCTATGTATAATATTCCGGTACACAAAGGATAAAGATTCCTGGGGTTGAACTCTCATTGTTCAAAGTCTCTCCAACACGTAGAATTAGCTTTCCTGTGAGAAAACATGGTGTGTGCTCACCACAAAGCAATCTTTCTTTGGTGATTAAACATGGGGTTGTACCTCAGCGTCACCACTGACCAAATCAGTGACCGCTAAAACATATACATGTATTAAATGCGCCAGATGGCTTCCAGGAACATTACATGTACTAACTCATTACAGTCTCACAAAACCGATTAAGTATTATTTTCCTCCTTTTTATAGAAGAGAGGTTAAGTACCTGCTCAAGGTCATATAGCTATTAAGAGGTAAAGGCCGGGCAACGGTAGAAACCTAGGCATTTTGGCTCCAGAGTTCATTGTCTTAATGACCATACTAAACTGCCTGTTCAATAGGAACCAATAAAAAAATAATATGTAAACAAAGTATACTTTGCATACACTAGATGTGTGCTTTAGAAGTATAAAAAGTATGAGAGCATATTAACAGCAAAGCTGAATGTCATGCCAGCTATAAAATCTCCTGCAGGATCATTTGTTAGGCTCTCAACATTAGCTTATTTCCTAAGTCAAAGTGGAATGTAGAAAAATTGGATTAAGCAATTAATTAGATCTTTCTAGTTGGTGTTTTCCCTGTACATACCAATGTTCAGTTAATTGTAACCTTCAATTACCAGAATGTTCCATTTCTAATCATAAGGCAAAAGAGAAGCCTTATATTCTTCTTTTTCACTACCTACTCAACGTTTGCACAAATCTTAGGCATGTATTACTAGGAATATCTTTCTCTGTAGTCCTTCATATCTTTTTTTTTTTTTTTTTATTTACATTCAAACTCAATACACTTTCAAATTCTGGCCAAAGTTTGCCAAAGTTTGTATAAGTTTTATCATCAGTGAAATATCTTTAGTCATTCACTGCAGTTTTGTACACTAACCTGAAATGTACACATGCCGATAACCACGTAATTATTGCCACCGTAGGCAATTAGGTTTCCTGAATTTCCACTCTCAAAGGGATTAAATTCTACCACATGCACATAATCTTCACAATCCACGGTGTAGGCAGCATTTCTTGTGGCATCTTGCTTCATCTTCTATGTCAAGACTTCAGCAGTTGTAAAAATTAAATAGCCTGCTACTGGACAAGGTCATGAAACTGTGGATTACAATACAGACACAGTTAGATAGAAACCGTCCAAGTGTTAGTCACTTTCAGCAAATGAACCAAGGTAAGGACCAGGCATTGCAAATGCCACAGACAACTCAAAAAAATTGAAAGTATTTATTTAAATAGTTTGTGAATGATACCTGCAGAGTAAATCACCATAAAATTCTGTTTAGATTATCTAAAAAATAACAGTGAGTCCTTGAAGATGGAATCACTTTAATAGTAAATATATTCATAAAAAATTAATGACAGTTAACATTCACACAGCACTATTTGCAGGTATCATGTTAAATTTTACTGACATTATCACACCTAATATTTGCATAAAGCTAAGAGGGAGGTACTACCTTTGGTTCCCATTTTACAGACGGAGAAATTGAGACTTTAGGAGGTTAACTAGCCTGCCAAACTCATAGGATGAGCCAGAATTTGAAAATACTTTACTATGTGTTGGACCAGTACTGGAGAAGAAAAACACAGCCCCCTACCTTGAAGGAGATCACAATCCAGGGATAGTTATGATTCAGCATGCAAAGTGCTATGAGATAAGCAGATACAAAATATAGCACCTGGAGGAAGGAGTGCCAAAATGTGTGATACAAAAATAATATTCACAAAACCAGGCACAACACTTTAATCTGTCATGGCCTGGTGCGCACTCCGGAAGCAGCAGCATTCCCAGATAAGGCTTATGGATTATAAAGAGGTCTTTTTTTTTTTTTAATTGGACGCAAGAGCTGTCCTGAAAACAGCTGGGCTTGGTAACAACCACATCAGGTACCTGATGAGCATTTACTGAGAATCAGATGGGATGAATCCCACCTCAGGGAGCTTATCACCTAGTAACCTCACGAGTGGGCATCCGGGACTGGACATTTGTTAAGCGTGACCAGCAGGTGAGACGCCCGCGGAGGCACAGTGGTGTGGGGAGTGCAAAAGATTCGAGGTCAGGAAACTCGGTGCCCGAGTGCTCTGATTAAAGCAGTGCCCAGTCTCACCGCATTCTCAGGCTCTCACTGTACACAGCAGGCTGGACTTGCCCCCTCTAAAACTGGAAGGGCAGAAAAGGGAGGAAACAGAAGTCCATGCCTAGAGTCCCTACGCCTCTCCCAGTGCTAAGCAAGTCCCGCGAGACCTCGCTACCTCCTCTCCGAGCACGAGATCGGAGCGAAGAGGGGTGGGGAACGGCCCGGGGAGAGGAGGAACTCCCAGGGACAGGGTGAGAGAGCGAGGCGGCCGGTAGCAAAGCGCCACGGCCCCTTGGGCTCCAGAGCAATACGCACCGTAAGACGCCGAGAAGCAGCCAGTACGCAGCTGATCTCTGCTGGGGGCTGCGCCGGCCCGCGCTGGCTCTGCTTCCGGGTCAGAGGGCGGGAGCGGCGATTGGCTCCTGGGCCCTCCCGCGAGATTTAAAATGTAACCCGCGACAAGTCGGACAGCCGCTGCACTGCAGCCGGGCAGGAGTTTTCTTCAGTAGAGTCTGTGCGTCACAGGTCTCCCTCGAGCCAGGTGAGTCTTGACTCTTTCTCGTCCGCCTGTCACAATTCAAGTGGTGATTTAAGCCGCGGCTTGGGAGGGTTTTTCGGTGACAGTAAAGTGCCTTGTGACCGTCTAGGGTATTATTTGTGCAGTGGCTTCGCGCTGGAGCCTGGTTGGGTCTGGGGATGTTGAACAGAGTCACGGTGTCTAGTGATGGATGGAGCTGGAAGGTCCTGAGGGATCATCTGCCGACTGGAAGACTGAGGTCCATAGAGATCTACTTAGGAAACCGAGGTTCTAGTCCCAAGCGTGCGCAGACTCCAATTCCGCCACTTTCCCCGTCTCCCTAGTATATCCTCCCAAGGATCTTTTAGGACCTGCATTCCGCCAATGATAGCGGCAACGACTGCCATTTTTTATTGAGCACCTGCTAAGTGCCCAGCACTATGTGGATTTTTTACTTGTCTCACTAATATCTCCTAATTGTATGAGTTAGGAGTTATCGTGTCCGTTTCACAAATGAAGAAATGTATGTTCATCAGAGATTTTAAATACTAAAGGACATACAGCTAATAAATAGGGGAGTCTGGATATGGACTCTGGTCTGTCTGACTCGCAAGTGTAATTCTTTTAACCATCTCACATTGCCTCCCCAGTGACAATTTTCTGTCTCACAATTTTTGCTCCAGTGCAGCTTGGAATCCGGTTTTTTAAAACAAGTGTTGATTATCACTGCTGCCTTCTACTGCTGTTTTTGTATAGTGCAGCCTGACGTTCAAAGTGCTTGCATATTCACTGTCTCATTGACTTCTCATAACTGGCTGGAAGGTGTTATTCTTGTTTTCTTTGTGTTGATACCTCCACCTAGGCAGTCAGGTGTAAAGCTTATTGCGTAGGCTCACACAGCCAGCTAGCTACTGGAAAAGCTGAGACTAGACCAGGATTGGCAAACCAGTGGCACTGCCTCTTTTTGTGCAGCCAGTTCCTGAGCTAAGAATGGATTTTCTATGTTTGAATGGTTGGGAAAAAAAACCAAAAGAAGAATGATATTTTATGACGTGAAAATTACATGAAATTCAAATTTCAGTTTCCATAAAGTTTTGTTGAAGCACAGCTACGCTCATTTGTTTATGTATTGTCTGTGGCTGTTTTCACACTGCAAGGTCGAGTTGAGTAGTTGTGACAGAGATCTTGCGGCCTGCACGCCTCAAATATTTACTATTTGGCTCTTTTCAAAAAGTATGCTGACCCCTGGATGAGACTGTTGGCTTTTATATATGCCAGACACTGCTCTAAAAACTTAACTTGTATTTATGTCATTTACTTTTCTCAAAGCCCCATGAGATAGGAACTATCATTTTCATTTTCAGTACAAGGAAGCCGAGGCGGGAGAGGTGACATAACTTGGCTAAGATCTTACAGCTAGTAAGTCATGGAGCCAGGATTCAGAACAGTCTAATTCCAGCTAGTCTTCATTGTTAGCAACCTGAACTCATAGTGCTTTTAAATAGTACCAGTAAATAATTTACTACTAAAGATTTATTTCAGGCAAACTGATCGTATCACTGAAGTTTTACTTCTTCACTTTCTTTTCTGGTAAGAGATGAGGGTGATAAGGGAAATCTAACTCTTAGCTATTTACTAGGGTTTGTATTTATGTAGATATTTTAATTTATAGTCTTCTACCTGTCTTTAAATTGCATCACTGATTATGTCTATAAATTATTATCTTGTAAATGGCATATGCCCATTTTCTTTTCTTTCTTTTTTTTTTTTTTTTGCTGGGAAAGATTTGCCCTGAGCTAACGTCTGTTGCCAGTCTTCTTTTTTTTTTTCCTCCCCAAAGCCCCAGTACATAGCTGTATATTCTAGTTTTAGGTCCTTCTAGTTCTTCTATGTGAGCCACTCCCACAGCCTGACTACTGAAGATGAGTGGTGTGGTTTCACGCCTGGGAACTGGGCCACGGCCCCCGAAGTGGAGCATGCCGAACTGTAACCACTAGGCCATCAGGGCTGGCTAGCCATATGCCCATTTTCTTGATCATATAAACCCAAGATTCCTAGTAAACATCTGGGATTCTGTTTATGCCACATAAAAAAAGAAGAAAAAGATAGCACAAGGAGTAAGTAAATAGGATGTGTACAGTAAAATACTCAAAATAAGATAATGGCATGTGAATATGTTGGAGACTAGGGTACTTAAAAGAAAGTAGGAACAAAAAACTTTTAGCAGCCATGTCTGTAAAGTCAGAGAAAGGAATTGGCTGCCTGATATAGGCTTGGGTATGTAAAACATTGCAACTACATCCAATTATTTTGAAAAGCTTTTGTCTGTCAGGAGAAGTTATGCAATATAGTGATTTAAGAGCACAGCTTGCGGAGTTAGGCATCTCGGGTTTAGGTCTATTTGGCCATTTGCTAGCTGAGTGACGTGGGGCATCACCTTCAGATGTAAAATGAGGGTAATAATAGACTTCCGCATAGGGCTCTTGTGAAGATTGAATGAAGGAATAAATATTAAGCTTTTGAAAAGTATCTGGCACCAAGAAAGCTCCTAAATATTAGCTATTGTATTAGTTATCTATTGTTGTGTAACAAACCACCCCGAAACTTGGTGGCTTAAAAACAGCTATTTTATTTGCTTAGGATTCTATAGATCAGCAGTTTGGGCTGGACTCAGGTAGGTGGTTTTGCTGATCTTGCCTGAGATGACTCATGTGTGTGCAGTTCATCTGGCAGGTTGATTGGGGCCAGAAAGTCTAAGATAGCCTCACTCACATGTCTGTAAGTTGGTATTGGTTGTCAGCTGGTGCACCTTGGTTCTCGTCCATACGGCCTCTCCAGCAGGCTAGCTTGGACTTCTTCATATGGCAGTCTGAGAGTACCAAGAGAGAAGGAACCAAAGCTACAAGGCCTTATGTCAGGAGGCCCCCAAGACCACCCCCAGGTTGGATGATTTGTTAAGAGAACTCAGAGGACTCAGCAGATAGTCGTGCTCAGGGCTATAATTTATAACAGCAAAAAGATACTAAGCAAAATCAGCAGAGGGGGAGAAGGTGCACAGGGCAAAGTCCAGGAGACACCAGGCACTAGATTCCAAATGTCCTGTGTTAGTGGAGTCACACAAGACATACTTAATTCCTCCAACAAGTTGTGACAACACATGTGAAATGTTGTCTATCAAGGAAACTCTTTAGATACTCAGTGTCCAGGGTTTTTACTGGAGGCTGAACATGTAGGCATCCTCTGTCTATGTTCCAAAATTCCAGACTCAGAAGGAAAGCTTGTGTTCTATATAAACTATATTGTTTGTACAAACAGTTTAGGCACAGTGAGCCATTCTTACTGAAGCCCTCCTTAAATCTAAGTTCCCAGATGCCAGCCAAGGCCAACCTTGTAAGCAGGACTTGCGAAGGATAGCAGTCAGGCCTACTGTATTAACTCTTTATTTTATTTTATTTTATTTTTTATTTATTTATTTTTCCCCCAAAGCCCCAGTAGATAGTTGTAGGTCATGTCTGAACATCCTTCTAGTTGCTGTATGTGGGACGCGGCCTCAGCACGGCCGGAGAAGCAGTGCGTGGGTGCGCGCCCGGGATCCGAACCCGGGCCGCCAGTAGCGGAGCGCGCGCACTTAACCACTAAGCCAGGGGGCTGGCCCTATGTTAACTCTTTTGCACAGGCCTTTTGAGGTCTAGGCTTGGAACTACCATGATGTCATTCTGGCCACATTCTATTGGTCAAATCAAGTCACAAGGCTGATCCAGATCCAAAGGGGTGGAAAAAATAGACCACCTCTTTTGGGACAATACAGAGATGTGAGAAAATTGGCTTTTTTTTTTTGCAATCTACCACAGATATTACCATCTGTCTCAAAACAAATATTTTTTAAATACACCTTTAGTTAGCAATGTCTGTGTCTATAATTATAAGTTTGCAGAATTTGTGTATCTGTTTTGTATGAATTTTTGGATTGAAGATTGGATTTTGTTATTTCAAAAGATTTGGCTTAAGAAAACTAAAGGAGAGGAAAATATGATTGGGCAGAAATTGTATTATTCTGTTTTCCTAAATTTAATTAAAAGCAATCTTAGTAAATATGAAATGACCTCTCATTCACTACTTATTTTTCTCTAACTCTGCTTGCTTACACGTGTTAAATATTAATTTCCAATTAAAAGAAGGCTTTTTAACATTGCATTCTGTCCCACTTTAAGAGGATGGCTGTGCTTAATCAAAAGTTGGTGTTGGATATGATTAAAGAGTTCAGAAGGAATTGGCACACTCGTTGTAACTCTGAGAGAACTACTGTATGTGGTGCAGACTCCATGCTCTTGGCATTGCAACTTTCCATGGCAGAGAACAACAAACAGGTTAGTAGACTATATTTAGGTTAACTTTTTTTTTTGAGTGAATTTTGGTTGCTTCCCATTTGAATAAGCTTAATTTCATTAATTTCTTTGCAGTATATGCCCTCCTGTGATAATATCAATATTCTCTTTTCGTAAATGCCTCTGCATATCTGCCTCAAAATGTTATGATTGGTTTTGCAATGACTTCTTTCAAAATTAAGGCCTTATATGTGTAATTTAACATAGGACATGCACATTTGATGTTTAATTTGAAGTCTTAAGATAAACATGCAACTATTCTGATTATTGTGGTTAAAAAATTATTTTTATTTTATAAGACTTCCTTTAAAAAGTTCTAGAAGGCACTCATAAATAATGTTTATTTAAATATAATCAAAGTATTTTATGACTCATTTCAGACTCTATGGTATAGATTAATTATTCCTAATGCAGGTTGTGAATCAGAATCATTTGAGAGGGCTTTTAAAAAATACTGGCTCCTGTGCCCCAATCTTGGAAATTCTTTCTCCTAATCTGTACTTAGACCCTGGAAATTGTCTTTTGTAATCTCCCTGAGGTGATTCTTTTTTTTTGAGGGGGAAGGTGATGAGGAAGATTGGCCCTGAGCTAACATGTGTTGCTAATCCTCCTCTTTTTGCTGAGGAAGATTGGCCCTGGGCTAACATCTGTGCCAATCTTCCTCTACTTTATATGTGGACGCCTGCCACAGCATGGCTTGATGAGCGGTATGTAGGCCTGCACCCAGGATCCAAACCTGTGAACCCTGGGCCGCCGAAGTGAAGCACACGAACTTAACCACGATGCCACCGGGCTGGCCCCTGACGTGATTCTTACATAGTTGGCTTGTGCCAAACTAGTGTTTGGAATGAGCTCTACCTAAAAGGCTAGAGGTGTTCAGATGAGAGCAAGATGAATGTAGGCTGGAGTGGTAAGACAAGGCTTCTTGGATTTTAGATAGTATACTTAAAGGAAGGGAAGTCTTTGGATAGGAAGGACTTAAAGAAGGGGTGAAGGAAGGGGAAAGTTAGTTTAGAAGAACCATCCAGGGGATTCAAAATCATGATGGTTTGAAGATGGTAAGGGGACTGTCTTGACTAGAGAAGATTTCTGAAGGGTGAAATTGATTTCAGTGGGTCAGTTGGGCTACACAGTGAAATGACATTCTGATAAGTTATTTTAATCCTATATGTCAGTAGTTCCCAAACTTTTAGATTTCATGTACCAATAAAATTTCCAAAAAAAATTAGACATTGACAGATTTGAACATTTCTGATGTTGGCAAATAAGGCCAGTGAGAAAAAAATAGTTACTGGAACCATCATTTTGAAAAAGGAAGAATATTTTAACACCTAGAAATTAGAAATTATATAATCTTAAAACAAGATATAGTCCTTCCTATGTGTGGATAGGTAACAGTTTTACGTATTCAAAACAATGTATATTAAGATAAATTCTGAACATGGAAAAATTTTGACAATTCTATCTTATAGAGTCAGTCATTCTTCTGACAAGTATTTGTTGAATTTTTACTAAGTGCTAGACATTATTCTGTGCATTAGGAATATAGCACTGAAGGAAATCCCTGCTCTTATGGAATTAATCTTCTAGTGGGGAGAGACATAATACTCTAATAAATAAGATATATAGTATTTTAGGTCATAATAAATGCTACAGTACAAAATAAAACAGAGATGCAACTAAGGAATATATAGAGTTTGGGGTGGAGGAGTTCTTGCAGTTTGAAATAGGGTGGTCGAGGAAGGCCTTATCTAGAAGTTGCCATTTGGGCAAAGATTTGAAAGAGGGGAAGAAGAAACTAATTGGGGATGGGACTACCAGACAAAGGGAACAGCAGATGCAAGGGCCCTGAGGTGGAAATATGTTCAAGGAACAGCAAGGAGGCCAATACAGCTGTTTATATAAATGTTAATTTCTTCCGTCTTTTCCTTCCTTCCACAGATTTCTTTCCTTTTCCTTTTTTTTTTTTTGAGCTTCTACTATGTGCTGGGCATTGTGGTAAGTGGTGGGGTTAAAATGGTGAACAAAATGAGACATGACTCCTGCCTTCATGAAGCTTATTGCCTAGTAGGTGAGGCAGACATTAAGTAGAGAATAATACAAATAAATGCAAAATTATAGCTGTGAGAAGAAGAGATATAAGATACTATGAGGTGAGGGAGTTGACTTGGTCAGAGAGATCGAGCTGAGCCCTAAAGGAAGGAGAGGGGTTAAGTAGGCAAAGAAGGGAGAGCAAGATGAGGACGGAGGAGTAGCGTGTACAGAGGCCCTGTGGCGGGAGACTGCAGATAGAGTTTGAGAAAATGCAGAAGGGCCACTGTAGCTGAAGGGGTGGTAGTTACGTGTTCAATTTGTCTGTTCCTTGTTTTTAATCACAGTCATTGTTAAAAATTAGTTTTACGTGGGTATGTTGAAAAAAACATAAGTAGCACTTTTTTGACATTTTATTTTGAAAAAAATGTTAAACTTCCAGAAAAGTTATAAGAATAATACACTGAACTCCTGTATGCCCTTCACTTAGATTCACCAATTATTATTTTGCCATGTTTGCATCATTATTCTTTTTATATTTTTGTATGTGTATATAAATACATAGACACATGTATGTATTGTACACATACATATATACATACATACATACATATTGTTATTACTCTGTATGAACCATTTGATAGTAAGTAGCAGACATCCTGGGTCTTTATCCCTAAACACTCTTTGTGTTGTATGTTCTGTGACTTTTGACGAATGTGTAATGACATGTCTCCACCGTTATAGTATTGTACAGCATAGTTTCACTGTCCTAAAAATCCTCTGTGCTCCATCTATTCATCTTTCCCTCTCCTCGACCCCTGGCAATCACTGAGCTTTTGACTGTCACCATAGTTTTGCCTTTTTCAGAATGTCTTGTAGTTGGAATCATATAGTATGTAGCCTTTTCAGATTGGCTTCTTTTACTTAGTAATATTCATTTAAGGTTCCTCCATGTCTTTTCATGGCTTGGTAGCTCATTTCTTTTTAGCAGTGAATAATAGTCTGTTATGTGAATGTGTTAGTTTATTTATCCATTCACTTTGTCTTACTTTCTTCCAGCCAGTATTCAATAAGATAGTCAATGTTTATTAGTTTTTTAGTTTAATAACTATTGGATTTTCTGCTATCATCTTCATTTCCAATAGTTCTTTTTTATCCTCTTTTCTTTTTCTTTTTTCTCCTCAAAGCCCCAGTACATAGTTGTGTATCATAGTTGTAGAGTTGTAGCTCTTCTATGTGGGACGCAACCTCAGCATGGCTTGATGAGCGTTAAGTAGGTCTGCGCCCAGGATCCGAACCGGCGAATCCTGGGCCACTGAAGCCGAATATGCAAACTTAACTGCTACACCACCGGGCTAGCCCCTATTCTCTCTCTTTTTAAAATATCATACTGTTCTTGCTTCTAGGGTGTAATATTTTCTCCTTTGAAATTATTAATGATATTTTGTTGAGGTTTTTTCTTCTTGCATAATCTGTTTCCTCCAAGTTCCTTGTTTTTGTTAGTTTTATTTGGGAAGGATTTCCTTTCTTCCTATTAGAGGCTTCTTCGTGATGATCCTTGGCCCTGCACTTATATTTAAGTGGAGCACTACACTGCTTATTGGAAGCTGGACGTGCAGGGTTAGGGCTTGTCAACCTGATCTGACTGGGCCATTTGGTTGGGGAACCTTTGATGTCAATATCTTGAGGATACCCCTTTTGGAACAGTGTCCTCAGAAAAGGGTCTTCTTTCCTCCTGCATGAATGGTGGTAAAGTTGAGCTGCCAATGGGTTGGGCACCTGAGAGGGGTGTCAAAATTTAGAATATAAACTGTCACGTGGATTCCTATGGTTTTAATTTGGGTTCTCTTGTCCTCAACTGCACTTTTCAGTCCAGAGACTCTGTTTTACCCTCTCCAGGGAATAAACTTCCAATTTCTGCCAAGGTAGATGACTTCTGTCCTCTGTTTCAGCAGAAATTAATTATTAGGCAAGTGGTAAGTGAAGATTACTCAGAGAGGTCAGCACAATATTGAGGCTACTTCAGAAATTTCTTCACTGGCAAGTATCTCCACCATCACCTTCTGCTGGGCGGATTTTTTTTCTAGTGGACATACTAAGAGCGTGGGCCTTTAGGGGCTTTGGGCTTTATATGGCAGCATGGGCAGGAAGGGTCTCTGATCCAGCTTCCCACCTTTCTTATGCTCAGTTTTGCATTCTAAACTTTGTGCTCAGGATTCATAAATACCAGGTTCCTGAGTGCCAGGGAGTGATAGATACCAGGGAAACACAGGTCCTACCATTTGCTTACCCCTCTATATTGGCACTTTCTCATTGTTTTTGACCTTTTATAATTTCCTTTCTCTTGTGGAAAATTCAGTCATGCTTAAAAAAATTTTCCTGTTTTCTCCTATAGTTTTAGGTATTTTATACCGGGAGTAGTTTCTCTGCTTATCCAGTTGGGCAAATTGCCTTGTTAATGTATCTATTTTAAAATTATTACAGATGGTATACATTCTTTCTGCCTCTTGTTTTTATCATCCAACGTTGTTTTTAAGACCTCTTCAGGTACTGATAGAAAAGTTGATCTAATTTATTCATTTTAACAGTCATCCTTTGTATGACTGATACATTTTATTCGTTGATGGACCTTTGGGTTGTTTGAAGTTTTTTGGTCTTACAGTTTTTCATTGAAATGATGTCTGTGCACTGAAGAAGAGGCTCTCTAGGCCCCATACTCAGTGGGTCATATGATAGATACATCTTTAATTTGACTTGATACTAACATATTGGTCTTCAACTTGGCTTATCTCTCTCTCTGTATTAGATGTTGTCAAAAGAGAAAAAGTGGTATTTCATTTTAATTTTTCTGACAACTACAGCATTTAAACACCTTTTAAAATGCTCATTTGACCGTTTAGATATCCTCTTCTTAAACTGTCTGTTCATTACCTTTGCTTATTTTACTGTTG